TCAAGGTTTTTTTAAGCGATGAAAAAACTGGAGTACTTTCTTTTTCATTTCTTTAGTTGCGCTTAAAAATTTAGAAACTTTTGATACAGTTTTAAACGGACTGTATCGTTATAAGCTTGAGAAATTTTGGGTAAGCCAGCGTTTGAACAGTGTGGTATAGTGTCAAATAGCTCATCTATTTTTTTCGTCTCTGCCTTTGAAGTGCTGCTCTCCAGTTGTTTGCATTTACTTTTTATCAGTTATTGAAGTTTGGCATGAAATTGTCATCTTTTCAGAAACTCACCAATGTTTTTGTTTTTCCTAACTGTAAAGCATGTAACCTATTTGTTAACTTTAGTAGTAGTAGTAGTAGTGATAATAATAATAATAATAATAGTAGTAGTAAAGTAGTAGTGACATTAGCATCTTTAATGCTGCTTGCATATTTTCTCTAAGATTATGAGTTGTTTGACTAAAGTATTGTGGAACTGACTTTTTAACCATTCTCTAAACAACACCCTATCAACCGTCTGTTCAGCGCAACAACTTTGCTGTTCTTTTACTGGCAAATCTGTCAGAATATGTTTAGTTACATTCAAAATAAAATTCTATTGGTTTATTGTTCCTTTACAGTCTTGTTTTTTTTTTCTTCTCAGCTTTTTATTCTTCATTTTTTGTTACGATGAGGCTTAGTAGGTCTTCTTAAAAGTTCTCTGGTACTGGTACTGCATTTTTTTAGGTGCAAACAAGATAGCAGAAGGTAAAGTAAAGTATAAATTTTATATAAATAAATATATATTCATTTATTTATGCATACTGACTTTTGCATTTACAGTTGCAAAAAACTGAAATATCATTTTTTTTAAATGTCTTATTTTTGAAAAAAAAACGAACTTATATTGTAACATAAATGCTTCACAAGTTTTTTTTTTTTATTAGCACAGACTAACTAAGGAAAATGTTTTGTTGTGGTTTGTTTTTTTTTGCTTCTACTTCTGTGGTTTTTCCTCTTTTCTGAAAATTAGTGAATTTTAAGTTTGAACTTCTGTCCTTTATTTTGGCAGGGGAAAGTTTTTTGTTGCGGTTTTTGAAAATTTCACAATGAAACAATTCTTTCAAGGTTTTATTCCTATATATTTATGCAAAAGATGAAATCAAAAAAAAAAGTTGCTAATGAAGTTGGAAAATAAAGAATTGTATAAACGGTTTCGTGGACCATTTAATATACGTATAGTTTTGTGCGAAAGAAAAGTAATTTAATGAAGGCAGCAAAAAAGCGAGGTGTGTAATTATACTTCTTACATTTGAGCACGATAAAAATCGTCTAACTTTGACCGGTTGTTTGTTTTTAGCTTAGTTAGCAGCAACACCGGTAATAAAAAAAAGCAAAAAGGGATCGTTTTTTTTTTTAATGATGGATGGGAGAAGAAAATATTGTTTTGTTGATGATTAAAAAACTGTAAATTACACAGATGTTATTGGCATACACAAAAATTTGTTGTCGACGTTATTTGTTTTTGTTGTATTGGTTGACTTCATCAAAGCATAAAAATTTTTTTATGTCATCCATTTTGCTTCGTCTAATTAGTGTTAGTCTTTGCACGTGTTTTTGACACAACAGCAGTATTTGTACTATTAACTAACTGTTGCTTTTTTGATACGGTAGTTTGAACTCTGTTTATTTTTGAACTGTTAAGGGGTTTAACACCAGTGTCGAGTGAGAAGCATTTCTACTTTGGACGGAAGGAAGAAGATTAGGGGAAAAGGGAAGAGAAAATAAAAAGTTAAAAAATGAAGTAGGCACAAATACTTTTATATGTTATTGTTTCTAAGTTAAGTAAATGTTATGAAGAAAACAGTAAAAGCGATGACATTTACAATAATTATGATTTTTTTTTTGTTGGATACATTTGTTTGACAAATTTCTTTTGACTGTGTTGAGGGAGAGAAATTTCAGAATTGAAAAAATTGAACGATTTCTGAGTGAATAGTGTAAAGGCAAACTGAACTATGGTCTTGGTTTTTTTTGCTAATCATTGTCTTTTTTTCACATCTTTATCGTCTATAAGGTTCTAAAATCAGTTTTTTATGAGGTTTGAATAATCTGGTACTGGTGTTAATTAGTTGCTGCTCTGGACAGATGGTAGTATACTACTTTTTTTTCTTCTTTTGTTGTTGTGGTTGTTGTTACTTTTGCTGCACCGAGGATATTTAGCGTGTAATGAAGCGCATAAAAATGTTACGCTTAATACTATTAAACTAAATACATAAGAAATTTCGTGAGATAAAAAAGCTACATATTTCCACTGTAATCTTTTTTTTCTGGTAGATTTTGGCTCTTTTTTGCTTTGTGTTTGTAGTTCTTTTCATTATTTAGCGCAAGAAATAATGTCGCTTTTGAATAAAGATGTCTACGGTTTCAGGGTTTAAGGTTTTTGTTTTGATATTATTTAATGTGTTATTCCACCATTTGTAAGGTTTAAACCGATAGCAACAGTTTTTTTCTATTAGATCGATCGGTGGGTGCTTGGCGATATATGAGTTTTCTGTTTGGTTAACTGAAAAAGCTTATGGAAATTTTACGGGAAATAACTTTTTTGCTTACATTTTGCAAACGGCATTATCATTAGCGTTTGTTGCTATGAGAAGGCAAATCGGAACTTTTATAAAAGCAATAAAAATGTGTATCAAATATATGGATTTATTAGAATTTAGTTGATGGTGTAACAATGGTTCTTTTTCAGGACGATCCTACAAGAAGCGTCGTCGTATCAAACAAAGTGAGCACATTACACACATAATTAAATATATTGCTCTACTTCTTTTCACTAGAATAGGAGTGTTTCTTTGATTGGTAAAAGTCAGTTTTGAGTAAACGTCAAGGACAGTAATCCTGTTGGATTAGTAATCTGATTTCTGCTTTTTTGTTTCGGGAAAGAGATTTATGTCTACAGAATATGTTTAATGTTCGCTCAACGGTGCAAATTCACGCTTGATTGACAGCTGGTTTAGTATTTTTAAATTCCACCAGCAGTTTTAAAAAGTCTTCAGTTAACAAAAGATTTTCTCGAGTACTCTTGTTTATCATTTTCTTTATATATCGCATGCAATAGAAAGAGGGTTTAAACGGCTTAAAGGTTGTTAAAGTGCGATGCTTGGTGCAGTGGTATTGATGATTTGGTCTGAAATTTTGAATATAGAACAATCAATCTGTCAATTTTACTGCAGTTGTAGCAGTTTTTTTTAATTGAATCAGTAAACACTTTATAAAGGTACACAAGTATCTGCTGCTGCAGTGGTGTATTACTAAGGACTTTTTTTGGTTTTTTTTCTGAGTTTTTTCAGCAGTTTTGTTTGTATGAGTTGAAAATTTTAAGAGGTTTCTCATAGGGTAGAAATAAAGCTGTGGTAAAAAAATTATTTTTCTCTAACATAATTTTTGCAGCTTTTTTTAAAAGTAGTCTATAACTAAGGAATAAAAGTTTTTTTTTTGCAATAAATTTTTAGCAATGAAATGTCTTTTTATTCGCTATGGAATGGAATTTAGCGCATTTTGAAGTTGCACTGGAAATTTTTATTTGTTCGCTAAAACAAAGTAGGTGAAGGGAAAGTAAGACAAAGGCTGGTAAGATGTGTTCAATTGGATTTTGAAAAAATGTTTATTTGATAAAGATCTAATCGGCTTAATTGTAGACATTGTTTTTGGCTTTAATAATCCTCTTTTGCTATTGTTACCATAAAGAGAAGAAAAGAAAGAAAAAAAAAGTTTTTTTAAAATAGATTTGAAATAAAAGGACAGGTACCATAATTGTTTTTATAATTTTCTTGAACAGTTGACAAGTTTGTTTTTTTTTTTTCAAGGTTGGCAATAAAGGAATAGTTTTTTTGATAGATTAATTAAGTTTTACTTGTGGCTAAAAGACTAACATTTTCTTTACTGAAGGATTCGTTTAAAATTATCGAAATAGGTGCCATATTTAAACTGGGGTGCATCGAAGCTCTCAGTTAGATGAGGTTAAGTTTGAATCAGATTGATAAATGCGCATATGCACATATTACTGTTATTAATTCAAGATAGAATTATTTATCGTTTTATTCTGCAAAATACGCCTCATTTTTGTTTACTAAAATAGGCTTTTTGTGTAATTTTCAAACGCAGATTCTAATTTTTAGCACAGTGTGAAAAAATTCGATGTCCATATGGGTCGAAATGCGTTGAATCAAGGTACAGTGCTTTTCCCTTGATGTTGAAAATCATCGATGTTCATATTTTTACTGAGAATGGAAAAATTTTATACAGTAAAATTGTAGCGTATAAAATTTTACTGAAAATGAGACTCAGAAAGTTTGAGGCAGATGTTGCTGCCAAAAAGTATTTATTGTTACAAACGATAGTATTTCAGTGGCGAATGCATCTGTAGAACTGCATGTCATCGAAAAGGAATTGCTGTTTGTGGTACTGACAGTGTATCGTATCCCACAGAGTGTCATCTGTCAATACGATCATGTAAAAATACAAAGTTGGGTAAACCGGAAATTCGAATGAAACATTATGGTAAATGTAGTAAGTTTTTGCTACAGTACTTC